TATCAACTGCAAAAACCCTGTTCCGTATACGTTGCGGAACTAGCAGCCATATTTTACGCAGTAGAGCAAATTGCCTCACTACCATCTGATCACTATTTTATTTTTACTGATAGCCTTAGCTCGTTGGAGGCTATTCGATCAATGAGGCCGATGAAGCACTCCTCGTATTTCCTGACCGAAATCCGAGCTAAATTGAGTACTTTATCTAACTGCTCCTATACTATCACCTTAGTTTGGGTCCCATCTCATTGCTCAATTCCGGGCAATGAGAAAGCGGACTCGCTAGCTAAGGTGGGCGCTATGGAAGGCGATATTTTTGATCGACAAATCGCCTTTGCGGAATTTTTCTCAATTACCCGTCAGCACGTCCTCACCAACTGGCAACAAAAATGGAATGAGAGTGATCTGGGAAGATGGTTACATTCTATTCTCCCACAGGTATCGAACAAGCCATGGTTCAAAGGATTGGACATGAGCCGTGACTTTATACGTGTCATATCAAGGCTCATGTCCAATCACTACTCGTTAGACTCGCATTTCTTCCGAATCGGGCTCGCAGGCAGCAATTTGTGCGCTTGTGGTAGTGGCTATCACGATATCGACCACGTGCTTTGGTCATGCACCCTATATTGTGTTGCTAGATCCGAGTTATCCGCATCCCTCAGGGCCCGAGGAAAACAACCTATGCGGCCCGTTAGAGACATCTTGGCGAGCCGAGATCTCGATTATTTTAATTTAATTTATGTGTTTTTAAAACGGATCGATCTGAGGATTTAGTAGTTAGTGTCATCTTGTGTTCTCTCAAGTTGCTAGGTCTCCATCGGTGTACCCCCATGTTTGTCTTTTTCTCCAGTATGTCGCTTAGTTCTAGATCAAGAGCACATTGCTCTAAAAAACCTTGTGTTCTCAATCCCTACCCTGCCACCCGTTTGTTACAATTTGTTACCCCTAACCTCGAGAAAGCCGCGAGTAATCGGCCCCCGCTTTACTAACGTTAGTTTTAAGTAATTTTGTACCCAAACGATGAATATCGGCTCCGCAAAGCTACGGCAAATGAGCCTGGAAAAATAAACGCATTATTAAAAAAAAAAACTAACCAACACTAGCGGACCGTGAGTTTCAGCCCATCTGGGATTATTCGCGTTTACGATAATTCATGCATATTAATGGGGCTCATTTTTATTTTGAACTTATAGTAAACCTACGACCAATATGGAAGTTGTAGGTGCGGTCAAGTACTCACGGTCCGCTAGTGTTGGTGAGTTATTAGCAGTTATTTTTTTCCATAGCGCAAACGGGTGGTCGGGTATTTCTACATTACAAGCAAACAGCGGAGATAGAGAATAGGAAAAATGTCGTAGCCCATTATTTTTCAAACAGTTACATTACATTTTAGCTGCAAGCTTGCTTGCGACAGTAAATTATCAGCTCCATTATTTACGCATAATTTTAACATCTTTGCTTATGAGTGGTTAGCATTTATTCATATCTTATAATTCCATGCAATAAACAGCAAATAAATGCTATTATTAGCCAGAAATCAGCAAAATTCTACATTACATAAATTTATGTCTTGTCTACTTAATTGTGCGAAAATGTTCAGTCGCCTGCATAAAACAGTTTAGAAATATAATGAGAGAGAGAAGGATTAGTATTTTCCATTTAATTCCACTACTTTATTTGCTTATCCTTGACAGATACGCGTATTTCGTCTACAATGTGCAGACTTCTTCAGTGTCTTGTACTAATACTCGAGTATTAGTACAAGACACTGAAGAAGTCTGCACATTGTAGACGAAATACGCGTATCTGTCAAGGATAAGCAAATAAAGTAGTGGAATTAAATGGAAAATACTAATCCTTCTCTATCTCATTATACAGGTATTCCACTAAGACGCCCACATTCATCAGGATTCAGTTTAGAAATGTCATGACAATTTTTCCGCTTGCCAGTTTGTGTTTGTGTGTCCTTCTCTATGCTTTGCGCAATCATCTAATGTTAAGGAAAAAACGTTAAACTCCAGTACTCATGCCACCACTGGCCTTGCCAAATTGATTTCCTACGCAATTGTTCAATCTTTGATGTGAATTTCGCGAATAAACACGAGGAGCATTGATTATAGCAAAACTTGCCATATACAATGGTCATATTATTATAGTTCATTTTAGTAAACAAACTAACACTTCCTTGTGTTTCACATTTGTATTAAGCGCCTAGCCCTACGCCCATCAGAAAAGCGAGTTTCTGGTAGGCTTATTTGCTGTTTTGTTTTGTTTTGCGTTTCGTTTCGCATCGTTCCATTTCGCTTTACTCTACTGATCTTTCTGTCGTTTATAAGTTGCACACTTGCGTAATCTTATTTTCAATACTCGCGCATATAGAATCGAGTAGAATGGCGAGCAGATTAGCTGGGCTCAAGCTAAAAAGTGTTCAGACTAAGAACGATCAGATTACTGGGGGTCCACGGTATACTATTTATAAGCATATCTACTAGCATACTTCTTATCCGCAGTTTTCGAATGCAAGAATTCAAAATCATGTTGATAATTTTAGAAAATTCAAAATATGTTGATAACTTTAGCGATTTGAAAGTTGTGTATACTCCAAAACTGTGTCATACTTTTTCGGTATCTAATTTAAATTGTTTCAATTTCAAGATTTCAAATGTTTTCTAAATCCCAAGGTTTTAAAAATATTCTGAGGAGCAGGTCACCTTCCTGTCCCTACGTGGACAATCTTCCGTTTTTTTTTTTGCATTACTCTCCCGCTCTCTTTAACCTATGTATACATGGTTATGGACACCTCTAGAGCAACATAATCAAAATTGTACCGATTCCATCCACCGAAAGTACTGAATGGTTAATTATATTGGTATGTGGAAAGTGAGATACAGAATACATAAATCTTAAAAATTGTAGGATTAAAAAACATGATACTGAGGCTTGGATAGATACTGAATCTTAGACATCTAAAGAGAATTTTGATTGTGATTGGAATTCCAGGGGAATTTTAAGGAGAAGTCAATGGTCTCCTGATGATAATTTGTAGGGAATTTTGAAAAATTAAAGAAGTCAAAGAGATTTGAATTATGATGATGGTTATATAGGCATACTGGGGAAAAAGGATTTTTTTCTCGGGAGGATTTCGTAGAATTTCAGGATACATTTGTAAGGAGTATTCCAAGGGATAGGAGAAAAAAAACCTCGATAATTCTCCGGAGACTTTCGAGAAGAGTTCCAAGAGAACTTTGGAAGAGTATTCCAAGAAAATCTTGATGACCATTTCACAGATTTTTTCTTCAAAATATTCATTGTTAATGTTGAGCACAATTACCATGGAAATTTTAGGAGAATTCCAAGACAATTCAAGCCAAAAATAAATTTAGTCCTACGTAACATTGATCCATTATCTTCATCGACTTTCTCTTTCTAATCGAACCTAATCTAATTTAAGACAAACGCAGCCAGTACAAGAAAGCATCCTGGAAAATGATTAGGTTAGATAACGCCATAAAACCCCGAAGAAACAGCTTTGTCAACAAGAATAATAGACTAACATAAAACTTTATATGTTTGGCTGGCCGTACAGGTACCACGTGGTCAACTTAGTAGTAGAAGGGGGGATATGGAGAAGTTCACGCTTGTCTACGGAGCGGGGGAGGGGCATATCGTCCACGTGGACACGTTAAATTTAGTAACACCATCGGTTTCGTTTCTGACAAATTTATCTGGAATTTGTCGAGTAAGTCCAGTGATGAAGATGGTAGACCTAAGGATCTTTTCTTAGTTTGCGGTTTGCTAACTAACCATTTTGTTGCTTCCGGAACTAACTCATTCCACTAAAAGAAGTAAGATAAATTTCTTTTTGCTGTTGAGGAAGACATTAGGTCGCTTAATAACACCGATGGTCACAAGCGGCTGGCGCAAGAACCAGTCATGGATTTGTTCTGAAATTGTGCCTTTACCAAGCTTCATATGATGCAAATAACTCATTCGATGATAATATGTCCCAACAAATATCTTGTCATAATATTTATTAACTAAAGTTAATAGCGGATGTTTATCTTTAGCATCACCTGTTCGCGCTTCGGATCATAGCGGAAACCTGGGCTATGAAACCAAGTCGAAACGACTGTTTTCATACAAGCGTTCATACGAAGAACGCTTCGGTTCGACTTCCTCAATGAGGCCTCTGAACTTTACCGTGTGTAGATAGCTAGATATACGTTAACTTTACCTTTTGATACGATGATTTCCCATTCCATGTTGTCTAACAAATCGCTTCAAACTGCAAATTTCCGCACATTTAAATTTAATTAGTCCTGAAACACAATCTTCCTCACTACCGTGCAGCTCGCTTGCCGTTGCTTTCAGGGATCATTTTGCCTCCCCATGCCCCATAACGTTTCCTTTGTGCAGTTTATGATGGTACCACCGACCAATGATGGCAGAGTGTAAACCAATATTTTCAAACCCGTTATAAACGAACGATTGTTGTGTCAAAAGCAAAATTATTGATTTTAGGTGAACGTTCTATTTTCACTGCATGTACACATGATGGGATCCTAACCTTTCCTCCATGGTGTCGTCGCATAAAGTCCTCACACAAAGGTCGCTATCACCAAACAAAATTTAATTCTCTCGTGTATGAGATTTTGCTTTCTATATTGCTACGATCCCCTGTTCAACACGTTTCGATTTCGATGTGGCAGGTATTGAAGAGTAGAGCGTGAATATTTCGAACCCACCCCAATTTAGGACGCTCTCCGTCGTTGTTATGTTTATTTTGTGAACCAGAACCCGAAAGGATAATAAAAAACATACAGGCGGATGGGTTTTGCTTTATCCGTGACGCATTGCCTGATGTAATGTGGAGATCGTAAACGGGATTGGGACTTGGTGCAGTGAATCCATTGGTCTGCTTTTCACAGTTGATTAATGGCGATGGGGAAATGTATGCCTTTACCCCGTCTTTCGGAAAAATACAATTATTCAATCAGTTTATTTCGATAACAGTGCGTCACTGGTTTATTATTATCTGTAGTATCTTTATCAGAAGTAGTGCTTTAAATATTATTAACTTATCCTTACGAGAGCTGTTATGTGACTATTGTAGCGCAAAAAAAAATGCATTTCCTTTACTGGAACTTCTACCAAGGTACTCTGAATCGCAAAAGCTGCTATACTTAGCCAGCCTCCTAATAGAGGCTAGTTTTCTTCATGATCCGCAAAAATTCCTCTTGGTTGACCTCTCCATCTCCATCGCGATCGGCTTCGTCGATCATCTCCTGTAGTTCTTCGTCGGTCAAATTCTCTCCCAGCTCTTTGGCAACCCTTTTGAGATTCTTGAATGAAATAGTTCCCGTCTCATCGTCGTCGAACAAACGGAATGCTTTCAGGATCTCCTCCTTGGAATCCTTTTCGGCCATCTTGACCGTCATCAGCGATAGAAAGTCCTCGAAGGAAATCTTGCCGGTGCCATCCTTATCGATTTCTGCAATCATCTTTTTGATTTCTTCCTTTTTCGGTTCGAAGCCCAGCGCTCGGATTGCCACCTTGAGCTCTTTCGTATCAATCATTCCGGTTCCCTCGGAATCGAACAGATCGAATGCTTCCTTGATGTCCTGTCGTTGTTCGTCGGTTAGCTCAAACTTGGGGCCGGATTTCTTCCTTGCGGTACCAGCCGTCTGGCCAGTGGCTGTCGTGGATGTTTTCTTCGTGCTGGTTGACACCGATCCAATACTGGAGGCCTGGAAACGTTATTGATTTTTGAGAATATAATTATTTTTTTAAAAGAGAATCATCTGCACTTGAAACCTACCATATTGTTCGATTGGTCGAACGATTCTAACTCACTAAAACGCGTGTTTGAATGAAGGGAACCGCTTTCAAACCTGTTTTTGTTGTTGCTATAGTATTCTGCCTTGGTTGGTTTTCGTGATGCGCAACACAAACTTCTTTTTTTTTCGGTTGGGTTACAAACAAGAGCGTTCCTGATGCTTCAACTTGCGCTGACCGAGGTCGAGGTTTGTGGAGAACACTCACCAAATAAAACAATGTTATGTCTGCACTTGTTTCTGCTCGTTCTGTGTAGGACTAGGCGTTTTGTTGACCTTCTCGATTATGGCACAATAACACTTCTTGCATGAAAACCCTAGCAAATCTAGTATTGCAGAAAAAATACCATCCGTGGCAGACAGACCCAGAAGGAATCGTGTCCGTCCGTGGCGATGTTTCGAAACTCTGCTGCAGGTCCGGAAAATATTTGACAGCTGCTGCGGCCAAACGCGTCTAAGTACACCAACACCAACGGGCAAACGAGGCAATTTTATGCTGCTGGCGAGACGCTTGCACGCACACAAACGTGTGCTTGCTGTGGGAGCTTTTTAGTACTAAAAATGCTCCATTATGAAAGCTCTCTCTGATGGCCTTGAGTGAAGTTCATGGAGTGAATTTGCGTGAGTTTGGTTGTTGCATGGTTGTCTGGCTGTGTGCTAAAATTATGCTGTATTTGTAAACAATGAAGCAACAGCTCCTAACGTAATCACCTTTATAACTGTTTCTGTTGTACATTGCAGCATTGACGCTAGAATGAAAGTTGGGCCATTAAAGCAAACTGCTCATTACGATTAGATTTGAATGATGAATGAAACTAAATTATTTAGATTAAGAGAATGTTATGATGAATTTAGGGATCGAATTACGGTTACAAATTCGAGAAAGTTTAGTCGCGTGCAGATTTTTTTTTTCGATTAATTTGACCTCAAGCTTTTATATTGTATGTTGCATAATATTACGCATTTGCATAACTTTGGTCTCCTGTGCAAAAAATTATTGCTCAGTAATATTTTCGCACAGGCCATTAAGTTTCTCCATCATACGCATTACGTTTATATAAAGGTGTGCACTGATATCAGGTGTAATACTGGCGGGTTTTGGTGGCAATTCACATATAGACGAAGCTAGTAACAATCTTAAATACTTTACTCAAGTAATTAAGAAAAACGACAAAAAGTGCACTTTTCAGTAGCGTTACATACTTTCATTGTTGTTATGCATTAATTATTATTGAATCAATTATCGAACATACCGTTGGTATGTTGGTATAATAAATGTACTGCTTCATTTTCGAATAGAGTGAATGTTTCGATCATGACTGTGGGAGTGGGAATCGTGATATGGTGTGCTTCTGTTATGGCATCTGGGAATAAAATTTCTCGATTACTTTTTCGAAGGGACGTATCTGCTTTTGTAAAAATGCATTTCTCGATTACTTGTTCGAAGGGACGTATCTGCTTTTGTAAAAATGCAACAGTGTTAGCATTCGTTGGCGAGCTACCGACGTCCCTTCGAAAAAGTAATCGAGATTTACCTTGATGGGGTGCGTTGTGGTGGAATCATATAGCTGTGATTGAAGCACTTACTCAACAATATATAGTTTAGGGCATAGGGAAACAGAAAAGTCAATGAATAAAGTTAGAGGACCTCCTAGATAAAGAGGAATTAAAGCTTTAAACTTACCGTATGGTTCGCTCAGACAAATAGCCTTTAGAGCTGTAGAATAAATCTTCACATCTAGTTTAATTTTCGTAGCAGTCAGAAGTAAATGTTTTGTCCTAGGTAGGCATTATAAATGATAGTCATATTTTCGATTAGGTATTTGTAAAGTTTGGGAAAGGAAGAGTTCGACAAAGTGTTGATATTGTTTAGGGTGAGTTCAGCTTTAGTTTGTTTCCGGTAAGGCGTAGCTTTAAATAAATGAGATTGATTCAAAATTGAGTGGTTTTTCACTCAAGAACGAAAAAACTGAAAAATAAAATTTTCGTCGCTTTTTCTTCAAAATCTGCTCGAATATGAGGTAAATCGATTAAAAGTTTACTCAGTCTAGGACTATACTAAAAGACTGAGTGAAACCTCTCTCGATTTTCCACATACCATTAAAGTTTTTCCTGAAAAATCGAGCCTAATTTTAGTCACTGTACGTTTTTGCGAATTTGAGTGAACGAAACTCAAATTTGAGTTGGTTTATCAGCCGTTTAGTTTGTTTTTGATTTGGTTATGCCAGAATTTTTCTGAAATTAAAATTTGAGCCGATAAGTTTAGATTGGCTGGTACAGTGACATTTCGTTCTATAGGGTATAGATACTTGTTTTAAATGCCGAGCTCTTGTATTTTTCTCATAGTAGTAATTGACTAGAACTACATAGCATTTTTCATACCTAGACAACTACGACGTGCATCTTTATTGTAATACCAAATTACTTTATGTTTTTTTGTGTGTAGTATTTTTACGTGACTTTTTTGTGTATGCACATTTCTGAATTAACTTTTAAACTTTTTGGGCATTTTTGTGGTTTTATTTTTTTATAGCTTTTTGAGAATTTTTGCGGTATTACGAGAATCTGAATAGTCGTGCAAAATGCGTTTTGGAATTTGTTTTTATGGATTTTTGAATTTACGTAGTTTGTACACCAATTAAGTGGATAATTTGGAGAGGTAACCAAAATTAACAACTTGCCAGGTTGACACATAATATTTAGTGGTACTCTCTAAGTGGTTATTAAATTTGTTTAAACTGAAGTTACTTTTTTCAGAATTTTCACGGGTTTCTTCTAGGGGCAAGACGGCTGTACTCAGAGTTAATATTTTCACAGTGAGCAAATTTGAGTAACTCATAGGGGAAATGTTGGCTTCGGCAATACCTTAACCTATTATCGTCAGGGGGGTAAACAACGTCCTTGAGAGCTCAATTTTGGCATGTGGATACATTGTGTACCAGATCATCTATTGGCCAAATTTGAGTGCTCTAGGACTTTGTTTACCCCCCTGACGATAATAGGTTAAGGTATTGCCGAAGCCAACATTTCCCCTATTTACTCAAAAAAGATCAAAGTAGTCTCACATTCGTCAAGAAATTAAAAATTAAATCAGTATAAACATACATTATCTGTCAGAGTGTCAGGGTAATTCTATCCGTATTTTATTTTTTGTATTCTTGCATCAAATACTCATTAATCCGTGTGTTCTTCTTTTCAGTATGAATTACTCTTATATGCGTGGTCTCTACTATCGTGGGCAATAAAGTTGACAAATCAGGAAAAGATATTTCCGATATGATCCGGAGAAATGAACTCGTTATTTGGCGTGCTTTATTACGAATTGCCAAGGGTGTGTTCTTTCGATGGTTAATTTAGCATTCTATTAGCAGTTTTGGCATTGACTCTTATAATGATCATGCATTGGAAAGTGCTTATTAGACCTATTTTTAGTTTTAAGTCTGTTCTAGATTTGACCAATCAAGCAAAATCGGCGAAGATTAGAATCTTAACCGCTTCAAATGTATGATTTAATTTCAGCATCTTATATAAATAAATTAACACGAGTTGCGAATTCTAGTTTGAATTGTTCTGATAGAGCAGTAAATTTTTATATTTGACTAGTCAATGATCTTTCCAATAATCTCGGTTTAAACTTTGTGAAAACTGTAACTCCTCAACGATTATTTCTCTCCAAAGTCGCAAGTGAAACGCGATGCAAAGGAAGAGAAAAACTACCATCAAAAACTTCAGTTTTCATTCGTGAGCAATACAGTCCTGAAATCATAAAGCCGTAGTCTTTGAAACCTCTGCCAAAAAGTGCATCATCAATACGTTAAATTATGTCAACTCCATATTCACTTGAAAATCCCATTATTATCATCACAGATTTTGCATGCTGCAACACGGATTTTGTGGATGGCAATCCGGTATGTAATGTTGTTGAATGATGAACGTAGATTTTCCTTGTCAAACGTCTTTGCTTGACAATCGTGGAATGCAGTCAAAACTAACAGGTTGCTATTGAATATTGAGCAACTCGAGTTACTCAGAGTTACTCAAAATTTACTCCAATATTACTCATTATCAAAAGCTGTCTCACCCCTAGGGTTTCTTCATTAATTAAGATCGGATGAAACGCGTTTTGATTAATTTTTAAGATTTCTGGCGTAACATCGGGTTTATTAACATAGGGCTTATCTCCAAAATGTAAACAATCATCTATTGCACTATATGTCAAGATGGAGAAATGATGGACAAAAAAGTTATGATTTAAAAAAAAAACTCAAGTTTTTGGAAAAATATCCAAAACTTGGTCCAATTACTGTAACGACTTCATATAATGAAAGTACACTAAATTTACAATAAAAAAGTTCTCAAGTAATTTTTTTCTAAGTCGCACTGTTTTCGAGATGTAGCGGTTTGAAAATAGATATTTTTTAAATGTTGGCAGCTTTAAAAAACACTTTCTGTAATTTTTCTTTTATTTTTCCCATAAATAACTCCGAAAATTTACAGTTAACCACCTTTTTTAAAAATGCGTTCAATTTCGTTTTTGTTGAATATTAACAATCAGGAATTGTTTAAGATTTGAACTGGGAAAACCGGGAATTTCAAAATAAAATTCACTGGCCACCCTGCATGGATCAGGTGGATCTGTTCATATCAAGATACCCAGAACTGGTTCCGGCAGGGCCTCAGAAAGGACACGTCCAAAACCTCATGTACTGGTACCGTTCGACGACTCAAAATTTCCATCCAGAAGAAAATATGCATCATACCATGGACCAACAGGTGGATCTGGAACCAGTTTCGAAAAATGTTTAAAATATCTATTGAGATAAATGCGTTGAATTGAAACATATTCATTGTTGACTTTTTGATGATTGCGACTTTATCTTTTATGGCAAGGATACGTGCCATTTTGGGCGAACATCTCAATAGTATGGGCTTCAATATACAAACAAAATTATGAAATGTTTTATTGGTCACACGATAGGTTTCTAACGCCATTCCAGATCATCAAAAACCAGAATCCGTCCTGTTAGCTCCGGATGACTGGTGTAAAACTCGAAGATTATATCTATTTACTTCTGGATGAAAAATAATAAATGATGAGCCATAGGACGGTACCAGCACATGAGGATTAGGAAGTTTCCTTTTTGGGCTCTTCCGGAACCGGTTCCGGGTATCCGGATGTAGTCCTGTTATGTTCATGTTATGATTAGCGTTAGCGTTGTTATGATATACTTCGTAGATTGGATACTAACGACACTCACGACTGTTTTAAAATTCTCAGTCAGACTACTTTCAGGATTTATGCTGGGGAGTAAACATTGATTCCAAACTAAATAAGAATACGAAAAGCATGATTGTCGGTATTCCCGGCCACGCCCATCTTTACCAAAACTAGGGATAGGAAAGGAGATGTTAATGTCGTACTTACTTAACGAAAGGCCACCGACTTAGCGACACCCTCATAAGTGCTTTGGAGGATTCGCCTCAAGTTGGTGATGCAACCAAAAGTATATATTGTTTATGTGTTGCTCATTTAATCTCTCGATAGCCGACTATCGAAAGAAAATATTTATTTTGTTTAGTGATCATGCATTTTAAGAGTCATGATAGAGAGCTTTGGATTAAACCCATGATTTTCTGCTCAATAAGCAAAATCGATCCCTCCGGGTCATCGAGCATCTCAGAACCATAACGTTTCGCGACTAAGCGCGACTACGTTTTCGCTTGGTATGTAAATAACGACTGAAATACGCGATAATTCAAATAGTATCCAAGATTGATGGTTAATCTAGCGTTGCCAGATATACAGATTTATCGGTATTTATACCGATTTTCAAACTTGATACCGATATACAGATAAGGTTTCTCAGAATACCGATTTTTGAATTTTAATACCTTTTTTTTATCAATAATCAAAATGATTACTGCCTGCCCGCACTGAATTGTCAGAGGAAACTATTGTGAGAGTGAGAGAGAGAAGGATTAGTATTTTCCATTTAATTCCACTACTTTATTTGCTTATCCTTGACAGATACGCGTATTTCGTCTACAATGTGCAGACTTCTTCAGTGTCTTGTACTAATACGTCGAGTATTAGTACAAGACACTGAAGAAGTCTGCACATTGTAGACGAAATACGCGTATCTGTCAAGGATAAGCAAATAAAGTAGTGGAATTAAATGGAAAATACTAATCCTTCTCTCTCTCATTATACAGGTATTCCACTAAGACGCCCACATTCATCAGGATTTATTGTGAGAGACTTTTATCTTCTTGAAATTTAAAAAAAAATCATCTTCCAAAATGTCTTATGCTTGATACTCTTTCGACTAAGGCTTCCATTTCCTCGCCCTGTTTGGTTACCAAGGAGTTGAGAAACAGCTTATGACTTATCCCAGTAGTTTCTGGAAATCGGGAAATTCTTTTATTCAGTGGTAAAAAATATGTCCATAAAAACGGTAATTTTTGAACTTCCTAAAATGTCTTTAATGTCTTTAACCCTTTGAAGTTTATTCCAACTTTCCCTAGGAATTTCCGTCCACCTTACCCTGTAAGTTATTTTCCGATTCCTTCCGGAAAGCTATTTTGACTTCCCTTGGAAGCTTCTTCCGTCTCCTCCCGTCAGTTTCAGAACTTCAGAAATGCTTCCAGAGTTTTATTGCGGTTCTATTAGTTTCAGGAAAACTTCAGGAACTTTTCGGAAGTTCTGAAACTTCAGAATAGTTCGGACTTTTGTAGTTCGGACTTTTGGGTACACAGTAAAAAAAGTTGTTGAATATTACATCCAAAATGCTGCAACCAGGTCAATCCATCGGTTGTGTAATATAACGTTGTACGATGTACATCGATTTTGCGAACAAAATTACATCCATTGATGTAATATTGTATCTGATTTTTGCTATTACATCATTATTTCATACATCAGCTTGAATTACAGGGTGATTCGGAATAGCTGTCCCTTTTAAAAATGGTCATAACGATTGAACGCTTGCATGAATTTTTGATATCATTATATTCCAGATATTCTGGATACATAACCTTCAACTAAGCATAGTTTATTTCAAATCTCTCTCCCTTTACCTTAATTATCAGCAACATTTGTCATGAAAATTAACCACAGCTGGCACGCACGCTTTAGTTCCAGCACTTTTTGAGTCCCGGTGATGCGTTTAAGCTCTGATATTGAACGGATTATCCAAGCATGGTTCCTTTGTACCTCTATAATGATGCAAAAATAAATGTTACATTCTTTCGAAGAGATTTCAGTTTCTAAAAGATAACACACGATTTTTTTTTACAGATTTATGCCATGCTCCATTTGGACGTCAATGGCTGTTTGAAATCACAAACGAATGAAATTTCAAATCCTACTATCAATACAAGCTGATATGTGTACACACTTAAAACAAAAATACTTGAACATATACCCATTTTACCCATTGAGAATTGCATATTTGTGAAATCGGTGACAGTTATTCTGAATCACCCTGTACATTGATCGATATAACATTTTTTTGCTGTGTAGGTTCCGTTAAATTCTAGACAGCTTCATTAACTTACACACTTAGATTTAGCAAAATAGATTGCCGAGATGTTCGGTGGTGTCCATCTCAGCAAAAATCATAATCTAAGTGTGTATGTTCAAATAACCCAGGAATCTCAGGAAAGCCCAGAGAACTCCAATGAACTTAAGGAAACTGAATTATTTTCGAAACTTCACAAGCCCAAAGAACTTCAACTTCCGAGAGGTTAATGATAATTTTGGAAAGGGGGGAGGAAGGGAAGCTCTGTGTTTTTTATCGGCAATTTTGAGAACTTAAAAAAATTAAATCGGGAAGATCAGAGTACTTTAATGCTGATGTTCATTAATTAAATAAAAATAAATGAAAGCGCTAAAGATGATCCAGGGACTTTTAAATAAGATAAGAGATTTTCCGGTAGTTCCATAATAATCAGGGAAGTTCCGAGTACTTCGAGGATGATCAGAGAACTTTAAAACAGCCCCATTAACTTTAGGAAAATTGCAAGAAGTTTCAAGGAGTTCCGAGGAATTATGGGATATTCCGAAGTGCAATTCAGGAATGTTCCAAAAACTTCAGGGACTTTGTGGGATTTTCAGGGATGTTTCATGAATATCAGGAAAGTTGCTGGATCAATAGAGCATGTGATGAACTTCAGGGAATATTGTGCTAACATCCCCCAGAAATCTATTTCTTCCAGATATTTTCCCATCTTCTCCTTAAAGTATCTTTCGACTGTTCCGTAAGCCCTCTGGTGTCTGACTTTTTCCAGAAGTTTCTTTCAATGTACCGTAGGAAGTTTCTCCCAGTGTCTCCTGGAAGTTTCTTCCGTCTTCTCCAGGAAGTTCAAAAAATGTTCTATCGGATGTATCTATCGAGTTCTCCCAGAAGATTCTTTCGTCTTCCTCTGGAAGTTCCTCCATAAGTCACTCTCCGTAGGTTTTTTTCCGACTTATTGTAAGGTTTTTCCGAGCTTCTCCTAACATCACCTGGAAATGGCTACTCCGGGATTGGCTTTCGATTTCCAAACTTTTCTTGCTTCTGTTTTTTCCGAAAGTTTCTAAAAAAAATTTGCCAGAAGTTTCTCAGTATTTGTCATCGGATGTTTTTTTCGACATCGGTTAGAACTTTCTTCAAACTTCGTCCACGAAATTTGGAGGCGAACCAGCCCAAGGCTGAAAGCCTCCTTAATAAAGCTAAATAATAATAATCCTCCACGAAATCTTCTTTATTCTTCCTCTGAAAGTTTTGTCAGTACGATTAACAGACTAATTCAAATATTTCCCAGAAATTTCTGCCGACTTACATGGAAAGTATATCTTTCGATATTAGTCCAAAAGTTTGAAAAAATTAAAATTAATTAAAATAGTGAACACCTATAAATACCGATGTTTTAATCATTTAATACCGATCATTACGAAAACAATCTGGCAACGCTGGGTTAATCTTAAATATACAATTTACGATGGCGATTTATTGTGCTGTGGAAGAGCTTGGGGTTAAATCCATGATTTTCGGCTCAGTAAGCAAAAACGATCCCTCCAGGGTCATCGGGCACCTCACAATTCACAGCGCTTTGCGTCTAAGTACAATTAAGTTCTCTTTTGGTATGTAACGAACGATTAAGATACGTGATAATTCATGTATTTTCTACGGTCGATGGTTAATTTAAAATATACGAACTGTACTGAAAACGACGACGATAGTAGCGAATTTGGAGCTTACCTTTAGCCTAGGATATAAACACCTTGACACTTCCACTGGATCCTCATGTGTATATAAGTCCTGTTGGGCCATGGTATGATGTCTATTTACTTTTGGATGAAAAATCATCAACCTCTCAAAACTGTCTACGTATTTCATGAACAACTCCTTATAGAGTCACTGATCTATGTTATACACATTGTTTATTTGGGAAGCAAAGGTGTTAAAGAAAATCGTCATTATTAGTAGAGATTATAAGAAACTACTTCCTGAAAAAATTTAGTTTTTTTTTTATTTAGACAACATTTCAAATTTTTAATTATGAGTGGAAGGGATTTGCATTGCATTCTGTATTTCAATTTAAGATCCGATGTACCGTACTAAGTGATTTCTTCAATACTTACTTAATTAATTGAAAACCGCAAAAAAAATTCACGGTGATTTTAAAACTGATCCCGTCCCTGTCATTGTTTCCCCTTTCATTGCAGTTAACTGCCGGCCTACCACCGGAACTATACGACAAGGGCAACCGCCTATCGCATTCCAGTGATACCAGCCAGGCAGACACGATGACGTCCGTCACTAGCTCATCGCTCGACTCGGACGAGGTCGACCTTTCCGGGCTGGTCGAATCGGTGGTGGACTCCGACGAGGAGGATATCGCGGAAAGCATCGATGTAAGTATTCTGCCATAGTCGCCTAGTGATTGTTTCAGTCGCAAATGTGTCAATTGTGTTTTGTTGTTTGTTGTTTCGTTGCCTACGTTGCAGAGCTTAAGTGTTCGCGATACCGTACGGGAATGCCTGGAGAAGGATCCGAGCGATCGTACGATGGACGATATCGAGATATTGCTTGAGTTTACGCAAAAGTTAAAGGCTTTCACCAATATGACATTTGCCGTGAGGCGGGCACTGTGCTCGGTTATGGTGTTCGCCGTGGTCGAGAAAGCCGGGACCATTGTGATGAACGATGGGGAGGAGCTGGATTCGTGGAGCGTGCTCATTAACGGGCATGTGGAGATCGAGCATGGCAATGGGGAGATGGAATATCTGCATATAGGGGATAGTTTCGGCATTTTGCCGACAATGGATAAGCTTTATCATCGGGGAATTATGAGGACCAAATGTGATGATTGTCAGTTTGTGTGTATCACTCAGACGGATTACTATCGGATACAGCATCAAGGGGAGGATAATATTAGGAAAATCGAGGAAGACGGCCATGTAGTGGTGGTTACGGAACTTCGGAACAGTACAGGAGAGAATGGATCACGCAAGGGATACGTTGTCATTCGAGGTACGGTCGACCGGTTGACACAGCAATTGATTGAGGACACTACCCAGACGGATCCGAACTATGTGGAAGATTTCCTGCTAACGTTTCGGACGTTCATCAGCGATCCGATTGACGTATCGAAGCAGTTGCTGAAGTGGTTCAACGTGGATGGGACTGAAGATGGGAATGACCTTATCGACGCAATGCATCAAGCTTCGGCGAACGACATATGTGATCGTGTTACGAGGGTAGTACTGCTGTGGGTGAACAATCATTTTACCGATTTTGACACCGACCCGCAGATGATGGAATTTTTGGAAATTTTCGAGTCTGCATTAGAGAAGAAAAATATGCTGGAACAGCTACGGTTATTGCACGTGTATGCTCAGCATAATGCTAGGGAAAGGAATGTTACCTTGGCGAGGAGTTCACGGGATGAGGATTTGAATTTTCAAATTTCCGGTGGACCGGGCGGTATTTTCATCACCAGAGTCGAACCGAAAACGAAAGCCTACGATGTTGGTTTGAAAAGAGGCGATCAAATACTGGAAGTCAATGGACAGAACTTTGAGCATATCACGTGTGTACGAGCTATGGAGTTATTGATGGGAACTACTCACCTGAGCATAACGATAAAGAGCAATCTGTGGGCATTCAAGGGGATGCTGTCGAATGCCGACGGAGATTCGAGCAAGTTGAAGATCGATTTGAAGAAAGGCTTACGAGCAGATTTACTGCAATCGCAAAAGTCCCTGGATCTGGTAGACAAGGCTGGTTTCCTGCCGATTCCACAGTTTCTTATGCCACTGCCGGTACGGGATGACTACGGTCGAAAGGATTCCGGTGCGTCGACACCATCTTCGTCGCATATGAACAATAATAAGGGTAGCTTTATGACGCTGGGCGGTAAGAAACGTCTTCAGAAGGCTCTTATTAAGATGAATCTACTTCCGAAGAATATGGCATTGCAGGACGACAGCATCAACAATAATAGCAACAACAATAGCAGTAGCAATTACGACAGTAGTGACCGGTCCTCCGGGATCAGCGTGAATCTCTCCTCGCAGGCGTCATCCATTTCGACGTCTTCGATAACAACCGCCGATTCGGACGAGACTCCACCGACGTCGACGTATCAAAGCAATCCGGACCTAAGGGAGCATCACCATACACCAGCGAAAACTCTTTCAACTGAGGCAATCATTCCAAAAAGCGGCACCCTCTACTACGAGGAACTTCGAGCCAGCGATTATCCTGAACATATTCTCAAAGTTTACAAATCGGATCAAACGTGCAAATATTTACTAGTGCATAAGGAGACCACGGCACATGAGGTGGTTATGCTGGCGCTGCAAGAGTTTGGCATTCATGATCCCAGCTCAAACTTTTCGCTTTGCGAGGTTAGCGTAGGGGAAGGCGGAATGATCAAGCAAAGGCGGCTGCCGGATCAGCTGCAGAATCTCGCCGAGCGGATCGGGTTGAGTTCGAGGTATTATCTGAAGACGAATGGAATCACTGAAACCCTGGTACCTGACGATGTCGCACCGGAGTTGATCCGTGAGAGTGCGGTACATTTTTTGCAGCTAAACGCAAACGAGCTGGCCATTCAGCTGACGTTGCAAGATTTCTCGATATTCAGGCAGATAGAATCTACCGAGTATGTCGATGATCTGTTCAGCTTGAAGAGTCGCTATGGTAAGCCGATGTTGGTGAAGTTTGCCGAGCTAGTCAATAGGGAAATGTTTTGGGTCGTGACGGAGGTTTGCAGCGAGCATAACATGATGCGGCGGTGTAAAATTATCAAACAATTTATCAAGATAGCGCGACACTGTAAGGAATGCAAGAACTTCAATAGCTTGTTTGCAATAGTTAGTGGGCTGGGACATGCGGCGGTGTCGCGATTGAGGCAGACGTGGGAGAAGTTACCTTCCAAATATCAGAAGCTGTTCAATGACTTGCAGGAACTGATGGATCCATCGAGGAATATGTCGAAGTATCGCCAGTTGATACAAACTGAGCTGAATGCTCAACATCCGGTCATTCCGTTTTATCCCGTGGTGAAGAAAGATCTCACATTCATTCACCTGGGAAACGATTCCAAGATAGATAGTCTGATTAATTTTGAGAAACTACGAATGATTTCCAAGGAAGTAAGGACCCTGCTGCAAATGTGCAACTCACCGTATGACATTCTTACAATGCTTGAGTTGAAATGTCAGCCACCGAGTTCGGCCATGGTTGCGCTGAATCAAATGTCGGTTCCATCCAGCGGGAATCTGATGATGCCTCCACCGCAGCCTGCGGTACACAGTCAAACAGTAAAGCGAAGAAAAAAGTCGACGGCTGCACCCAATCCGAAAAAGATGTTCGAGGAAGCTCAAATGGTAAGAAGAGTGAAGGCTTATCTGAACAACATGAAAGTCACCACCGATGAGGATGAACTACACAAACTGTCGCTCGAGTGCGAACAACAAGGAGGCAGTACACCGAACAATGTGCAGGTGAGAAAACGCTATCCTTCTCCCACGCTCTCCACAACATCGAGTACTAGCTCCACTAGCGAGGGCAAAAAGGGAGCACTAGGTCTTGGCATGAGTAGTCTCTCAATAGGAAGCTCCGGCAGCGGCAATAGTGGAGCGCCCAAGTTCGGAGCCGCATCACCACAGGCAGTGAAGAAACTGCTCTCACTCTCAGAACAAACCAAAACTCGACCTCATCAACCACGACATCCATCGGTAGGAGCGGTATTGCCGCCTCCATTGAACAACATCCATCATCATAGTCAGCTTGCGCATCATAACAATTTGTCCCATTTCCACCATACCCATCACACACCGTATCATCATCACGCCGGTATCTCGATAAGTCCTTCGCATGCTTCCAGCGGTAGTCAGTGCTGCATTGGTAGTGGCACTGGTGGTGGTTCCGGCGGTGGCGTCGGACCACCACACCAATATCCGAATACTCATCCGAGCTATGCGGTTTCCAGCGGAATTCACTTATCCAACATGCACCCCACTCCACCCAACTATAATGCCACCATGTCGATGTACCCGAACGGACGACCCACGGTTATGTCCAGCCGGATATTGGAAAGCTCCGTGGACTCCACTAGTCAACTGCCACCACCGATGGAACTCCCACCGGAGAGCAGCTCCTTCCGTAGTCCTCCCAATTATGGTAAGATTCCTTTTGCCCTAGCTTTCCTAAGATACCGAGATTTATTTTGCTCCTTCCCGTAGCGCAAGCAGCACACCGACGAATCACCGGTAATAGCACGGTTCTATCATCCTACCCGACGCCGCATCAGAACTTTGGTTCGTCCTCCCGTATCATAGCCGCCGTTGGAATCTCTCCCATCACACCCACCTACGTACCGCCGGGGGTAAACGCCATCTCGCCGATGTACACGGGCAACGCGGGCAGCACTGGGAACGCAAACGCCACCGTTGTTACCGGAACCAATAACAGCAACCTTCCGCCGGCCATTCCCGCTCGATTGCACGAATCCAGTGGGATGCCCCTCTCGATCGAATCGCCGCCACCGTTGCCACCGAGTATAGACCTCTCGGTCGAGAGCAGTTCGGTGACCGTAATCAGCAATGCAGCTCCCGGTAAGCCGTTTTGTGCTTTCTAGTTGATTGTTCTATTTAATACTTGCATGCTTGTCTTAGCTAATTGAAAATTAAATGTCATATTTTAAAAACCCCCATATTCGGTTCGATTGTGTTAATCCTTTGCGAATGATTGTCGATTGCCTGCAGAGTTGGAAGCTTTTGTTTGATTATCCTACTTTTTTTTGTCCATAAACCTGGGTAATTTTATCTGATTTTCATTCCATTATTATTCATTCCTCAGGAATGCAGGAACATCGATTGTACTCGTTAGGTGTATTTTTTTCTTCTTCTAAGAATACCTGTATCAAAATACTGTTGCACACTTTCTGATTTCCACGAAAAATAAATCTTACCGTGATGCATGATGTTCGGTAGCACACTTAGCATGGTTAAATGTACGCTAAACGTGACGATTAGGTCAGATCATCTTTGATTCTACAACAACAACAAAACGCCCTTGTCATGTGTATCGTTCTAGAACTGCTCGTGGAGACCTCGGTGGACGACGACAGCGAATCGGTAGAATGTGACATCACTGAAACCCTGTCGACCGACGTTTAAATGCCAAATTTAATGATGAATAATGATTAATCAACCGATTACAGCGAATAAGCAGTGAATCACTAGAAAATAATCTCATCACACATACATTAATACCAGTATCACTATAAAATACTGACTGTTATCAATGAACAAACAAAAAAGGGTTGATGTCATTGCACGTACCAAGGTTTTAGTCATTTTTATTTTTTGGTTCATCATTTGCGCTCTCTTACAGGCACAGCTCTTTGGTGAGTTGTTTTCAAAATAAAAGTTAGTAACGTAAATTGTTGCCAGTTTTAAACGTAAATGTTTACAGTATACAAACAATATTGTTGGCACGTTGATTAAACGAATTTATGACACGCAATGGAAGTAGGTACTACAACAGGTTCTTGATTTTGGTACCTACTACTACTAGATTAAAGTGATTCCTTGTAGCGTCCCATTACACTTCGCAATTTCGCAAATCAAAATATTAATTTTTTTCTGAATGCACGTATTCGAAAGTAATACTTTGTTTGCTGTGGAGAAGCAAGCAATGTCTGAAATTTACAGAATTTTATAAACCTAAAAAATCTTGAGATTTGTGCTCTTGAAATTGCAAAGTGTGATAAGAAAAAGGACTGTACAAGGAACCACTTTAACACAATCCTGCATAGAAGCAATGAAAAAGTAAACCCAGTGTGCAACTAGTAGGTGTATTTTTTACCCCTTTACACACAAGAAGACAGTAAATGATATACACACTCCTGGAAGACTATATAGTTAAGTAAGTTTTACCCCGTCGTGCCCCAACCGTATAATGAGTGTTTCCATTCCAAGACTGACAGGTGATAGAAAGGGATAGAATGGCATTTCTTTCTTTTTTTGTGTCTGGTCGAATCTGTTCAACATTTAAAATTTACCTACGACGAGGCTTGTCGGTTTGTTCATACAATTTGGATTAAAAGATTTCATCGAGTGTAAGGCATGATCCGCTATTTATAAGCTAAAAATAACAGGTACTAGGTTTAACAAGCATTAATTTATGTTCATTGTAACATACCAAAGAATAAGCTATGAAAGGCACAGCTACCGTTTAGGTATAGTAGAACTATTTTCTTAAAAAAAAGCATCCTTGGTATAGTCAGATTGTTGAATGTTGAAGTGGATAAAATTATCATGATAGTAATCGTTCCCTATTAACCTTAAATACTCAGAACATGCAAGGTCGGATGATATAGTTGTTTTTATTAAATAAGCTCTCGTTCTTCGGATTAACATTTTCCGAAAGTGAGTAACTTTTCTAACATTCAAACATATCAACGCTTAGGGCGTTGAAAACTGAACTACCTATGTGCATCCTTAAAAAAATCAACACATATTGGGTAAGGTGGGCCAGATGGGCCACGGGGCAAGATGAGTCAGTTGCTCGATTTATTAATTTATTTATCTGCCAACATCAACAGCCAGCCGGCGCCGGTGGTGTAGTGGTAAGCGTGACTGCTTTCTAACACCCCAATGGGTCTGGGTTCAATCCCCAGCCGAGGTCGGTGGGATTTTTCTGAGGCATAAAAATCTCTGGTCACGTCTTCCTTCAGAAGGGAAGTAAAGCCGTTGGTCCCGGCCCATGTGTGTTGAATGGGTGCGATATCCTACGCAGGTGTGGAAGCTGCCTTCCTGCACATTCGGTTGCCGTCAATGGATGGCCATCGATGTCCGTCGGTGATTGACACTAGATTGCGGAACAGAGACCGACGTTAAATAAAGGAAAAGAAAAAAAACATCAACAGCCTCAATGTAGCTCCCAATGATGGTTTGAAAAAAAAAATTGAGCCTGTTGTTGTTGATAAATAATTCAAGTAACTGACTAAGCACCCTTAACCCCTCTATAATATAAAAAAAACCTTCATGTGTGCTCTTTTTTTCTTGATTTGTTTTCCGTCGATCTTGTTTTCCGTACTGCATACCAATGCTACCGACGCCAGGGAGACCTATCGAACTATAAACTCATGAACCGAGGACCAACGGCTTTACATATTTTTCAATCTACCATTAAATAGTCAGTACTTTTTTAAGCTTCTCCGTGTGCTAATTATTCTCGTTCATATGTATTCTTGATGATTCATCTGAGAATTATTGGAAAACAATTATCATGCTATTGATTTTGAACAAAAACTGTTTTTTATTTGTTTTTGTTCTAGGACTTTTTTAGTTTTGCATCTAAAAACAAGAAAAACCTACCCGGAAATAAAGGATTACATAGTTTGATTGATTTTCTTCCGAACTTTCTTCCAAAAGTCTTTCTGGCTTCCACTAGAATTGGCTTCCAACTTCCCAAGATGTTTTTTCCTACCTCCAGAAAGTTTACCCTGACTTCCCGTGGAAGATTCTCCCGAGTTCTTCCATAAGTTTCTACGATTTTTTTCTGGAATCTTTTATCAGTTTTTCTGCCACCGTAAAAATTCTTCCGATTACCCCCTGAAGTTCCTTCTGGCAACCCCTGACAGTCTTTTTGGCTTTTTTCGGAAATTTCTTCCGACTTCTCCGGAAATTTTCTACGAAGTATTCCCGAAAGTTTATCAACAAGCAAATTGCTTCGATCTTTTTCAGGGAGTTTCTTCCATCTAACATGTCATGAAAATCCCAGAAGTTATTTAAAACTTCCTTTGAACGTATCTCCAGACTTCTTCCGACTTCTAATGGAATTTTTTTCCGAGATTCTTTCGAACGGATACAACCTATATTCGTTATGAGTCATAGTGTACATCGGCCTTTGCGAAAAATTATAATCGAATGCTGCAAATGTCGTCTTATGCGTTATGCGTCTTAGCCATGCCTTCGTGTGTCAAGGTAATCAGTTTTGCAAGATTCCCGAGAGCTATATGTAGCTTTGGAACACTGAAAAGCTCCATAAGGCTTAGAAAATGAAACACTCTCTCTCAGGAGACGGCTCCACGTACTGCTTAACATCCATACCCCTTAATTCAAAGTTACGAGTTCAAATATCATCCCCGGACAAGTCACGAATGACCCAAGAGTGTTAAAGTGACTATCAAAAAAAGTTAACATTCTTCTGGGAAGTTTCAAAATTGGGGAAAGTGGGACAAGAAGACTCACTCTAACGAAACTCGAATAAAATTTCACAATTTTGACTAGAAAATAATTCTTTCTATAATCCAGGGTGACCAGTGAACCGGGAAATCAGGAAAACCGAGAAAAAACCTGGAGAAACCCGTGAAAAATAGACTTCGAAGGAAGAGAAAAGGAAAAGATTTTGGAGATTGTTAAAAAACATCAGGATCCTTGGCTGAACTGGATATTTAGGATAAGAATGGATTCTAGAAATATATCTAGCGATAACACCGATGCAGAGAAAATTTCCAATGAAGTGAGAGAACTTCAAGTCAATTGTGAGAATTCAGAGTAAAAATTTTAAGTAGCTCTGTGGGAAATTCAATGACGAATGTGAAGTGGATTTCAGGATCCGTCAAAAAATCCAAGGGAATCGATTTCTGAGGGTACAATTCCAAAGAATGTTGTACACACTCAGAAATTATTATTTTTACAAGAGACGTAATTCAGCTTTGACGTAAACGTAAACAAACGTGGCATGTAAAATTATGTGTCCTGAAACTGAAACATATGCAACTCGACGAAAAGTGCGAATTGATTTTCTCGTCGGTCTCAGTGCATTGAAATTTACATGTCTTTTTCGTAGTGTGTAGGTTTCCCGACATGGTAGAGCAAAACTACCTCGAAGTGGTGGACTAGACGCAAAATACTTGCACCAACAAATCAAACAAAACATGAGAATTCCTATCAACAAACGTGTATTCTCATTTCTTCTCTCTTCTTGTCTTCTTACTTCATTCTCTTGGCTCTTATTCTTCTCTTCTTGTCTCCTTATTTCATCCTCTTGGCTCTTCCGACTAAAGCTTACTAAACAGCATCGCTCTACTTTTCATCGGTGTCGCGAAGCGCCCGCCTTAACTCCTATACAGGAACGTACTCACTTCGGTTCTCTCCTACTTAACATCTATACGATCCTTCGAACCACGGTGACCTGAGGGCAACCATAGGCTTCCAACTGTCATCTGGTCCACAAGTCGCCTAAAGATCGCTATAACTCGTCGTCGTTGTCGTCGCGTACTTCCTTTTACGAACGTCGTTCTATCGGCCACTCGCCGTACGGACAAGTCGCTTGCCGTCCCACGGATTGCCGTCGTCGTGAACCGGCCGCCATTCTTCGATGAATTAGAGATCGTACTAAAAACACCCTGGAAAGTCGTTCCATTAGTTTCAGCGAAGATAATTCATGTTTGGTACAACTCACCCTCGTAGGGGGCGTTTCTTTCTCCTTCCACTTCGTTTGCCTTCCGGTCGTCTTCCAAGCAGTTCCCAAGCAAGAGAGCTACACTGAACCAAAACATCCGCAATACTTCGAATGATTATTGCATTGCTCGAGCCCTTTAACAATATGCATTAGAATTGCGGATGATTTTCTTATGGTTGAATTCGTCGTCAGATGATGAACATCCATATGACTGTCATCCAAATACAGGATGATTTTCGTTTGAAAATTAGCTATAAAACATACGACACTCAGAGGACAAACATTTAAAAATAGTGTGACATGCAAGTGCTTTTAATTAGATTTATAATTTGATTATCTACATTTCCATCCTGAATAGCCAAAATAAGCCATTCCATTATGGATAGAAAAAAATTTCGCGGTGGAGAAAACCTCCTTCACCACGAATTAGCTAAACATTGGTTTTCATCTTTTACCTATGTTCGTAACAGCTCTGATAGCGATGCATATTCTTCCAGCTCGTTTGTCAGCTCAGATCAGCAAATGACGTTCGAAAGAATTATTTACATCATCGTTTTGAATGATTTGCGTTATGGGGCTGAACCAATACCATATGCATTTCTATTTCGTATGACAGTCATTCTACAGAGAGCATTACGCATTTCAACTGAAGGCCCTATCCCTACTCATAACAAGTTTCATACTGTATTCGAGAGGAAAATCATCTGATTTCAAAACAACCGTCATCCGGTTGCAGCTATCATTCGAAAAAGCGATTTCGGTGTTTTGTTTTGAATGGTCTGAGGTTTCATTCGATCAGAGGATGATGTTTGTGTACAGTGTACTGCCGCTGGTTCACTGGAGTAAGAAATTTCGTCCTGTACACTGAACCAAAACATCATCCTGGCTTCGAATGATTATTGCCTCACTCAAGCCCTATAACTATTATCAGATGATTTTGAGATGACCGTCATTCGATTCATCGTCTGTTGGAATATGAACAAACCAAATGACAATCATCCATAAAATGAATGATTTTAGATCGATTTGCGAAAACCAAAGTAGACATAAATCAGACATGAAATCATAGGATAATCGTATTATTTTAAAATAATTATAAAATGAAATAATATGATCAAATGTCGGATGACGGCGGCGTCGACTGATATTGAACCCAGGCCTTTTGGGGTGAGAGGCAATCACTCTTACCACTACACCACCAGCGCTGTATGGAAAGGAACATAATTTTAGAAGTAATTTTTGGTAGAATAATTCCATTTTTTGAAGGAAGTTAGATCGTTAGAAGTTATGTGCCCCAAGTGTAGAATCGCTTGTTTGGAAGATTTTCAATTTCTTCCCGTAATTTGTTTGCAACCGACGATGATTATTTTGTTTCTGTACTATTTGCTACTGCTGTCAAGCTTGCTGCCAGAATTGAAGCACAAATACACACACCCATCTTTTGAGGTTGGTCTCTTCACTATCAATTTCGTATGGAGCCAACTGCACTTTATTTTTAGAGTGTTTAAGAATCTGTGAGAGTGACCAGTCTCCTTGATTTACTGTCTTCGATTAGGTATATAGGAAAACTGCGTGGGAGTGTTTATCAATCCATTGTGTTTTACGTTGTGTATTTTAATATTATTTTGGAATGGTCGGTCCATAGCTTGTTCAAGGTTCTTTCAGTTCAGGGGTAGGTTGGAAAAAAAGATGTTACACATAAGATCCAACTGTTACAAACAGTGAGTTAATAATATATGAAATTGGCTGGCCCAGGAATATCTGAACTTAAAAAATGGTGAGGCAAAGTGCATCAATGTGCGGGGTGAACAAAAATCATGCATTTCTAAGGGATTTTATACATTGAAGGCTAAACAATGGTTAGGTAATATTGACATCGTTAACTAAATAAATCAAAAGTATCAGGAAAGTCGATGAAAATTTTACTTAGTCTGCATTTTTGCGAATTTAAGTAAACGGAACAAAAATTTAGTTGGATTCAACAACGGCCGTGCAGTTATCATCAGTTATTGCTTTGTGACACACTTTGCCCCACCTTACCCATCCTTGGTTTATAATAAATCCAAAACTAAAAAAAAAGGCCAAATTAAAAGCAACATCATTCCTTTTCTACAGCTGGCAAAAAAGTCAGTGTGCACACTTAGATTATTTTACAGCAGTTTTTTGAATTGCTGAAAAAATCGGCAAAGATTCAAATGACTGTAAGGAATCAATGAAATCGACAAATTGTATTTTCTATCATTAAATGGGATCAACAGAGCTTATTTGGGAAATTTTCTTATTTTTGAGTTTAACACAGATTTTTAAACTTTTACCGAACAGTTTCGCACTTCAAAAACCCAGTAAAACCTTACTGACTGAATTAGTGTGTACTGAAAAGTCAAAACCAATATTGTTGTAAAAGCCTCACAAATATCGACAAACTTAATCAAAATGAAATCAAATCAAAACAAATGTCCTCAAGGCAGCTACAAACACACGCGTCTCTTTGTGTAACCACTTTCTATATCAACACAATTAACAATAATCAAACAAAAGTTAAACAATTCTACTATTGAATCTATACCAAGATTAAGGGAGTCGTGTAACTAGAGAGGAAGATTAGTTCTACAACTGAGTGCAGAATATTCCATGGTTCAAAGCGAAATACGGCCAGTTAGATGATTATATACACATATGATATTGAAAGTATACCTAGATGTATTCCACCATCACAATTCAGAGATGAAAAGGAAAAATAGTCGCATAATGATAAAAAAATACGAGCTCTATATTTAATTCTATACTAGATATTACATATACCGTTGTTGAGAGATCTTTATGTCTGTGAAAATACACAAATCAGAGAATCAAATAAAATATCTATTTATGACACATTTGACCATCTTTGTTGCACAAAGCAATGGCGTTTCATTGATTTTATGTTCGTTTTTTTTTTTCTTGGATTGGCAATCATCATCGCAAAGGATTTTCCACCAAAACAACAAACCCCTGCCCCCACCCCCTTTATTATAGCTTCCAACGCAGACCGAAAGAAACTGAAGTATCAACTAACATGTGCCCTATTACATTGTTTTGCTTGTAGTTCTGTAGTGTGTGGAGTGAGGCAAACTCCTGAATCCCGAATCCCGCTGGTGCTGGTACATTACTACTTCCGTTACTATTACTACTTCTACTACCACTACCACTACTACTTAGCTAGTGTCGCTCTATTGTCACTATTGTGGCTACTAGACAAAAACCAAAGGTGTTGTAGTGTCGAGAACATACCAAAGCTCTACTCAACAAGTACGAAAACAGATATTCACCGTAGCGCAAGCCGCAAACCGATTGCTGCAACTGTGAGCGTAGTGTATAACATCATTTTTTTTTTCACAATTAACGCTTTTAGTAAATAGACAGCCGCGGGTTGCCATTGTCGTCTCAGGACACGATGGATGGCATCCGATGGCTGTGCACTAGTGAGAGGGTAAGGGAAAGTCCCGAACCGGACGTAACTGAATTTTATGTTTATTTTGAAAACCTTTCCAGCGAGACCACCGTCGTATACTCAATATCCGTCGCAAGCGTTCCACAATCATATCTCTAGACCGCGGGGACCAAGGTTTTAGATGGGATCTTGTGCAGCACTCGTTCCAGAGGTCTCTTGTTTCGTTGTTGGATAGTTTATAGTAACCGCAGAGCTGTATAAAGTCCTAGGATAAGTAGAACGGATCATAGATATTTTGCAAAGAAAATGAAAGATAGGTATTTACACTTTGTAGCGAGTTGGGCTGGGCTGTACGTTTAAGAGAATGGTTAAACAGATAATCAAACGAAAGATGCCGGTATAGTCGCTATGATAGGAGGACAAATAATGCGCAGGTGTGCGAATCGACGTGTATATGTGTTGGATGTACAATTTGTGCGGTTTGTGCGGGTGTACTACAAAAGCGAGAACAGTGCTCAGTTTCGTCAAGATTTGTCAAATTATTTTGTGTTTTCCATATTAATATACAGTGTGGTGCCCGTTCACCGGTCGACCTTCATTCACGGCTCATTTAAATTAAAAAAGTTCCCAAAATGAGCGTTTAACTATTTAATTTAGTTTATTTTTGTAGTGAATTGAGAATTGATCGTTATTGTGTCTCCATTCACCGCTTATTATGTTTTCGACAATAATGCAGTAGGTTAAATGTGATCAGTAGGCATCTTAAACGAGTTATTTAGTGACTCTATATGACTCTATATGACTGTATATAAACTTAAATACGACCTATAGTTTATAACGAATGCGAGTTTTTAGACAAAAACTTACACCTCAATAACTTACAAACCATACACAAGTGGAAATTAATATAAGGACACTTCGAAGACTTTATCTCCTCCCAAATCTAAGAATCAGAGGAATTCGTTTCTAAAAAGTCATAAGCAGATCAAATCGCTAGAAGTTCTCGAGCACCACACAAATCATTGATTGATCAGCGATGATCCACGATGATTTAGACTATGTGATCATCGTTGATCCACCAATGATTTTTGTGATGTTCGAGAACTTCTAGCGATTGGATCTGCTTATAACTGCTTATTTGAACGACCTAACTCTTTGATTATTTTGGTGCCACAATAATTGTTGACATGCTAAATAATGTTTCGAAAATGACCAATTTCCTATACATTTTTGTATGGCGCCCTTATACATATTTATTTCCGAAGAAGAAAATCACATTTCCATTTATTTCTCCTACGTACATGATGCAATTGGTTCTTTTCTTAGGCTCGTATTGTAGCATGATAATGTGGCTTCCAAACAAACATGATATAGAATTCCTCTGATTCTTAGATTTGGGAGGAGCCATGGTTTTTAATGTGTCCTTATATTAATTTCCACTAGTATATAATCGAAGACAACAAATCAAGAAGACTGGCAACTTTGCCAAAATCCAAGCGACAGATACAATAGCGCTGCGCTTGAGTGAAGGTGGAAGCAACGCATAGAAAAATGAGCAAATACACAAACCTTTCTTCTGAGAATGTAATCTTTGCTATCAATTTCGTTCGAAGCATTTACCTTTGAGCGGCATAGTGTTCGTATGAGAAAATGGAAGAGTTGCCAGTCTTTTTGATATGATGTCTTCGGTATAATGCAGCATTAATAGTCCAGAAAAGATAGAAAATTCAAACAGTAAGTATTTACTCTACGACATGCGCGGTGAAGGGAACCCCTGCTACAGGTACTAATATGTCTTGAAATAAATTTTAACAGCATTGTTTTTGATGTTTTACATTTTTTAACCTTCAACCTAGTGGCAAAATATGCTCAACATATTTATGAAAAATAATTTTACTAACGATGTGTACTTGATTTTGCTCTAAAGTGAGCGGTTCCATATCATGTGTTCATGTTGGTGGTGTTATACAGCTTTTCCCCGAAGAACGCGTTACCCGCTGAGTTCTACCCACCGCTTTGTCTCGAGTAACTAGTTCTCCATTGACACTACTCACATGCAAAAAATCAGACCGACTAGTTAAAACCCCGCCGAGAAAAAGCGGTGGGTGCAACTCAGTGGGTAACGCGTTCTTCGGGGGATAGCTGTAGTCACTTTAGCACAATTTAGGTTATTCGGGACTTGTCCGTGGATGATGCTAACCACTAGCAGAGCTTGTAGTACCCACGAATCTCTCAATGCAACTTTTTTTTTTTAAATATAAACACCCTGTTCTTTTGGTGAAGAAAACCCCGATGTACATGAATGTTGATTAATCTGCCATTACATAGGGGTAAGAGAGGCATAGTGAACAGGTAGGGCATAGTGAGCATCCCGTGCACCAGCTTGGACTTCCGGCCGTTCGGAGCAAATTGGTTGGTGGTAGGATCAATAGCATAATGATATTGAACCTACTGCCAGTTGATTTGTTTCATGCAGCTAGATATCCAGGGCCAAACTACGGGTTGCTCACTATGCCCCTCCTCCCCCTACACGACGTTTGATGTGGTACGTTGGGCAACTCTGTCAATCATTTTACGTTTTCCTTATACCATATCAAAGGTTTTTTTTGCCCCTGATATTTAGGGTTGGCATGTACTGTCTTGAGGAAATATGATTTTCCTTGAAGCAACTTAAAAAAAGAGTATGACAGTATCAGCTTTCTATAGGTAGGGGAAGGAGGTGCATAGTGAACAGGGTGGGCATAGTGAGATTCCTGTTATTTAGCCTTGGATTTCCTATGGTTCGAAACAAATTAATTGGTCATTAATCATTGCAATGGTGATATTGAACCTACTGCCAATTAATTTGTTTCGAACAATTAGAGGTTTGGGACTTAGGCGGAAAGCTGTTCTCATTTTTGCGTCACAAAGTAATAGGGTTAACTACCCCATTTCCGGCCTATTAAGCAAACAGAATATTATTATTACTGATGGCTTCCAAATTTATTTACCTTTCCGCACGTACCGTAAGATTTGATAAAGATAAACCAATCGTTGAGATATGGTCAAAAGTCTAACACTGCTTCTTGACGTCAAATTCGGCCTAACGCATTGAAACGCCATTGAAACGCCAATGAATTCACCTCGGCCTATCGGATGAAGATAAAAATTGATTCGGTCGGAGTGCTTCTTTTGTTTTTGGGAATAATCGGTGCAAACCTTCATATCACGCGTTCTCATTGACTTCGTTTGGTAGCTTATTAACTAGCGTATCGTATCAAACGCGTAATTGACTTGTTAACTCTGAAATGATGGATTTATTTGAAGTTTTCTGCTCGATAGGCCCAAAATGGATGACTAGGCCGAAGTAGTTCCCTACCCTAATCGTTGCTCATTTCGGACTTAACATGAAACTAATCATGTGTGTGTATTTAAATGTTGTGATTTAACTACTCTAAAACCTGGAAAATCAAGCAATTAATGTTTGGACCTAGAAAATCAAGCTTACTAATAAGTATAACTGACTTCGCTAGTTTCAAATAACTTAATGAATCGGTGTAGTTTGAGGATGGGTGTTAAAATTTTCAAAAGAGTTGCAAACTTGTGGATGCTCAATTGCTGATGTTGTATTTTTGTTGCAAGCTAAGCAACATTTTTCAAGTAAAAGGATATACCGATGATTTTGGGCCAACTGTAAATTCAGCTCCCATGTGATGTTGACACATTCCAGAGTTGAATTGAGATCCTGAAGGTTGATAGAAATCAATTTCCGTAGCCGCTAGACGTTGTAAGTTGTCGCAAAATTTAACCTCCAAATGTGCTTCTCTTAATTAGTGCTGTGTCGATATCCATAAATCCGATATTATCAATAAATATCGGATCTAAATTATCGATACGATGACCGATATTCGAAATCCGATATTAACGATGGTTGAAATCCGATATCGGTTTGATGTTAATAATCATCGACATGGTTCCACCGTTGAAGGAGCTGATAACGAATAATTTGTTGGTGATTAACCAACGAACAAGATCTCTACCGCTAACTTGATATGAAGTTATCACGAGGGAATGGTTCAACACCAGAATAACCAAACGACAACCAAGTCAACGCGTCACTCCGTACGGAAGGAACTTTATTTATACATGAGAAGTGGTATTAAACTAATGACTAGTACCAATTGTTGGTACTTGGAGGACAAGTAAGAAGAGTAACTTTCCATCCGGAATAATCCACTAGCGACAATCGATTTTACTCTCGTTCTGTACGTTGAATATAGTGTCAGAAGTAGTGGGCTGTATAGCGCATCATTATGCGATTGTAGCGCTCTACTTTCTACGTACAGAACGAAAGTAAAATCGAGTGTTGCTAGTGGGTTATTTCGGTTTTCAACTGTACCGATAATACCAGACAGCTCTGAAACTACTGTCATGAATTGCAACCTCGGTCCCTCCACTCCAGTGTGTGTTTTCGTAGACAGTAATCGGGCCCGATATCGATATTTTCAGAGATCGATATCGATTTTATCGATAAATACGACCTCGTCACAGCACTACTCTGAATAGATGCTGCACCTTACGGAATCGTCCATTAACTATGTCACACTTTTAGGGGGGAGGGGGGTTTTTGGAAACTGTGACGAGCCTTACAAAAAAACAATTAAGGTGTGACAAAGGGGGGAGGGGGAGGGGGTTTGAAAATGGGCCAAATTTGCGTGACATAATTAATGGATCTTCCATTATTGCAACCGGCAAAATTTAACTTTCGAGTAGATTGGTGCGTCAGCTCGATGCAGCTGCTTTAAACAAAAATCAACCCTTTGAGTAAATGCAAGAAAGGTGAAGAGTTAAATGTAGAAGATTATTTTTTTCTGAATACTTGTAGTTTTCTTTCCTTATTGTCATCTAGTAGCCTGATTCGCTCAGAGAATCAACTAAATGAGACTTTAGGATAAATCAAGAAGACTGGCAACTCTTCCAAAATCAGGAGACAGTAACGGCAACGCCTCTTCTGAGCAAAAGTGGAACCTGTGTATGATGGTGTGTGTTAATTCAAGAGTGCCTTCACACACATAGGTAGAGATAAATAGCTGTCAATTACTGGTTTTATTGTGGTTGTCGTAAAAAGTGAGCCGTTTTTTTCTTTGCTTTATGATGACAACGAGTAAAATTCCAGCCGAAACTGAACAGATGCAGTAAATTTGTTTTGAAAATTAAAACTATGGCAATGATGCCATTCACAATTATGGTGAGACCTTCCTCGATCATTAATTTGCTATCCCAGAATTATCTTCCAGCTTTCCTAAGCCCTTTAGTGATGCATTTATGGGCATTCGTATGGTGCGTTAGTAAAATGCATGCCCGTTCCGCACGGCTTTGGCACTTGGCCACAGCGGAGGGAGGTTAAGTTGTGACGCTCGGCAACTTGGCACAGTACTCGCTGACCATTTTTGAATGTCACTGGCCAACTGTTGTTATCATTCTCTGGAATGGGTCGGTCGATTCCAAGAATTGTTAAAACATACAGAGGATCACTATCCAGTGGTTTCGTGTTCTGACAACATCTAAAATGGAAATATATTCTTTTTCAATTAACCACTTCATTCGAGCAGTTAAAAGACGTTTACTACCGCTCGAACTTTGAAATAAAACATTATTATGAGATTTTTTTCTTCTGGAACCTCGAGAAAAGTAGCCAACATTTGTGTGTTTCATGAAAAATAGAAATTAGTTGATCCAGTTTTGTGAAATCGCTAGTAGAAAGTCACACCAAAACTGCTTGACAAAGTAGTCAATACGTACCGTTTTGGGATTGCAGTCCTTCAACCTTTAATTTTCATTTTCTCCAACATTAGATCCTGCTACGCCTTCCGATGGATCGTGATGTAGGTACCGGATCTTTCTTCTTTTTGAATCCTAAAATTTTCAGCAGCTTCAGAATGACGGTAGTTACCTCAATGGTGATGAAAGCTGTCAATTCTTCGTTCACAAGTAAAAGTTACTTTCACTAGGTTCGCGTTTCAATCCTCTACTTGATCCACCATGACAAGTTTTTCGGTTTGGAGTTAGAAAACCATCTGGGATCAGGATACCTGGGATTAATATACAAATTGCCGTGAAATTTTGTAGAGCAAAACAAAAAAGAAAAACGAGTACCGTGTTATGATTATTCGTTTTGGTAACATTAGGTCACACACATAGTCACTGTTTATGAGCAGTCTCACTAGCACTTGTGCTTCAAAATTCCACCTTTGATTGACAGAGGCGATGTTATCAGTGACGTTTTACATTTGTATGGGAGAAGGGAACAGTTGCCAGTCTTCTTGATTATTCAGAGAAGCACTTTTATGATTGAATAGTGATTCAAAAATACGCAGACAAGCATTACCTTGACAGAAGAGGGTGGCTTTATTGTGTATTATACTGCCTATAATCCCATATGGGTTTTCGTCAATTTTGAGATAACAGCGCTATCCACTATCAATTAGCATCTACTTTCATATTACGTGATAAAACTACGAACTTTGATCATGAAAAATGTGGAAACAACATCATGTCAGTTTGTCCCATTAAGCACAGTAATTGCATATCAGTCCCATCCTGAAATTCAATCGTCCATATACAAGTTACAGTTTTGCTTTTTAAGTTGCCATATTTTCCGCTGATATAACAAAGAATGCAAGCTTCAATACAATTAATTTAAACAAATAATGAATAAATTTAATATGATTTTTCAAATATTTACAGGGAATTGCACTTCGGAACTTCAACTGATATTTTCTCAATGCCTACTTTTTCCATACTGATGTGCGATTAAAGGCAGTCTAGGTCTTGATTGTAAACCTGATTAGGTCGGAAAATTAGCTTCTCAGTGAAGTTTTAGAATTGTGTTGTTGCTGCTAATGCAATTGAGACGGAATTAACTTACAGCAAGTTGAAGGTTCCGGTCCCGAATAAGCGTTTGTTCAAGCACGTTCAGCCTGTTTTGTAGATTGATATCGAGATGGTTGCAGTTTCCTTCACACATCGCTATCAATCGTAGTAACATCCCGGTTACTGCTTGAACTGAATTCCTGGCGCATACCACGTTGACAATCTGTAAATACGAAACACCCGATTTCTGCCTTTTTTGCATTCTTTCAAAGTCACTATTTCGTCACTGTTTGCGTTATTTTAGTCACTAAAGTCACTACTATTATATTACATACCCACTACCAGCCCTAACTAGATGAGCGCTAATATTAACACTTATCATTGAAACATCGCCCTAACCTCAATCGACCTGTTC